CTCAAACCTCAGGGCCTTTGCACATGTCAGCTCACTGTCTGGACACCGGCACACCACTCCTGTTGGTCCTTTAGGCCTCAGCGTGGGGAAGCTTCTGCTGACCTGCAGGGCTCTGAGGACATGGCCAGCCTCCCCATCTCTGCCTCCAGGGCCTGAGATGAGGACAAAAGAAGTAACACCTGATGCTGGCCAATCAGATTTTGTTTCATAAACAGTGGTCATCAGGAAAGAGTTCCAGACTCCAAGGCACTTGTGGGTGAATGAAACCCCACTCCTGGGGCTCTGATCACAAAGCTGGCCACCGTGTGTGCCCTCACCACCGCCTGCCTTCTTCCTTCCCCAGAGCTGGTGGGGAGCCCCTGTGTGTCTTACAGGTTCACTGTTGGCTCCCTGCCTGGCATGGCACCTGTAGCGGACAGCCCTGCACTCAGCAGCTGGTGATGCTGCTCCCCATCCAGGGCTTCTGGACCTTGCCTCCCAGGGGGGCAGATGGAGAGCGGTTCTTGGCTGCCCTGTGCCAGGCACAGCAGGCAGGGACGGAGGGAGGGAGGGAAGCCAGAGGAGGCCGCCCCGCCCCAGGCAGCCAGGGAATGTCCCCCTCCCTCTGCTGGCTGAGGGTCTGCTCAGGCCAGAGGGGACCCCACGAGGCTGGTTGCAGAGGAGGCTCCAGGATGCCCCTGGAACCCCCCACCCCACAACACACAGCTGTTCCCTTCATCTGGTTCCCTGGGACCTGGCCAGGCAGGCCAAGGGCATACTAACTGCCACTGGACAGAGGCTCAGATGGGGACCAGGAGATAGGTGATGGGCCTGGGACTCTCGCTCAGGATGGGATCCTGGAGGCTCTCAGTCCAACAGGGGCTGCCTGCCTGCTTGCCTTCCTGCTCTTTCTAGATGTTGGGTGGGGAGACGGAGGGGGGCAGGGAATGGGATGGTGGCAGGGGGGCCGACCCCTCATAGGCAGAGAGCTCCTGGCCAGCTGCCCTCCAGACATGCTTTGGGGATTACAGATTACAGCTCTCAGGCATTTGCATATCAGAATTTTAAACAGCCAGCCCCTCCAGCACACAAGGTCATTTCAAAGATAAAAATACTGAGCTCGCCCCCTTCCTGCCTCCAATTCCTTTTCTCTTCAAAGCCCCCAGCCCAGCACCCCCTCCCCGAGCCCTTGGGGGTACCTTTGCCACCTTGGGCTGTAACCCCTTCCCTGCCCTCCCTGCACCTCGCTCAGGCCCGGGGCCTCCCTCGCACCCCTGAGGCCCTATACAGGCTCTCCACTTGTACCATAGGTTCTCCTTGCCCTATAGGGCTGTGCAGGGGGTGCCTCCCTCCCACCGGGATCACCTCCCTCCTCGCATACTTCCGAGTTCACTGGCTGGCTGGTCTGAGCTCACGGTGTGGACGACATCCTAGCACACCAACCCGTTTCACTGCAGAGGGCATTCATCTAGCAGTGGGTGTAGGCCCTCACCCCCTGTGGTGGCAGCTACTGTCCACTGCTCAGAAGACAGAGGGGACACCCCTGAGACTACACAGTAGTGCTGAGCTGGGTCTCCAGCCTAGCCTGGCCCCAGGCTCCTGAGTGGCAGGAGAGCTGGCTCCAGGTGCAGTGGGGGACTCCTGTGTCCAGGGCCCGGGACAGTGTCTGGGGGGACGAGACCACACTGCGAAGAGAGGCCTTCCCCTGCCTTGGGGCCACGTGGCTGGGCTGGCTGAGGGGTGCAGTGCCTTTTGCCCTGAGTGCCTCCTTCCTGGGGCTCCTGCCTATACCTCAGCTCCCAGAGGAACCCAGGCTACCCGGGCAGGAGGAGGATGCTGGGGCTTGCGCTCTGTGTGCTGTGGGGATGACCTCTTCACAGGCTGCCCTGAAGCTACTGCTCTTCTTAGAGGCCCTGAGAGGTCAGCAACCAGCCCACAGTTGCTCAGCAAAGCTGGACATGGTCCAGGGCACACCCTGCCTCTCAGCAGAGCCAGTGGTTCCCAGGTGACCAGCAACTCCTGAGAACTAAGCCACCAGCTGCCAACACAGCTCACAACTTTTTAAAATGAAGACACATCCCTGAGCACTTCCCTAGACTGTTTTTGGGGCTCTGGAGTCACCAGGTATCAGGTGGGGGCAGGAACAGATCAAGGAGACAGTGAATTCCCTCTTGAGTCCCAGATCCACACTCCAGTGTTTGTGACGCCCCTGCACATCTAGGACCGCCCCTGTGTTTGTGGTGTGTCCTGCCTGGTGCCCTGGGGGTGCCTCCTGGGGGCGCTCGTGGCCATCTGCTCTGGGCCTTGACCTCAGGCAGGGCGGCCCCACTGGACCCGCTGTGCTGGGGCAGAGAGGCCCTGAGGCCCGGTCACTCTGCTGGGCTGCAGTCACCTGCTCCTGGGGCTCCCTGGGTGATGGGTCCCATAGAGGGGGAAGGGACGGGGTCTCCGAAAGCCCCGTGAACCCTGACCCTGGCCAGCAGATGACAGCCATAGAGAGGTGTATGTAAGCAGTGCGCGTTGTGCCAGATGTGTGCTGAGCCCTAGGCTCTGGGAGGTGACCGCGTCCTGCCTCACGCAGGCCAGATGGGAGATGCTAGGGGCCCAGTCACTGCTCTAAAGCCAGACAATGCAAGGTGCACTGGGGCTCAAGCTGGCTGATGTCCCCCAGGCTGCCTTCATAAGCCAGGTCCCCAAGCTGGGTGGTGGGGACAGAGCAGTGGCTGCAAGCCATAGACAAGACACAGACCCTGAGACACAGGGAGTGGAGGTGCTCTCCCAGGATGGGCGGAGCGGTTCAGGCTCAGAGAAGGGGGGTGGGCAGGCCAGGACTGTGGGCAGAGGCCGCGATTGCCCTCCCCGTGCCCATAGCAGGTCACTGGGGTGGGCATTGTCTTTGGGGACAGTGGCCTGGCCAGGCCCTGGCAAAGCCCCACTGTCCCATCGCTGGCACGGGCGGCCCCTGAGATAAGGACCCGCTGGGCCTCTCTGGCTTCCCTGGCGGACGATAAGTGTGGCCTGTCTGGGGTCTGATAGGGGGCAGGCACCACGGCGGTTGGCCAGCGGCAGCTTATCGGCCCATCGCTGCCCACTGCACAGAAATTTCTATCTGCGGAGGATGATAGGGAGCCCCCTGGCCCCAGAGGATGCACCCCAGCCCTCAACCATGGCCACCCTTGGCCAACCTTGCCCTGGGGTCAGCTTCCAGTCTCTAGAGGCCTCTGTGGCTCCATCTATAAAAACGGGGGTGATGATTCTAACCCTGTAGGGTGAGGGGGGCCCTGCTCTGGAGCCGGGTGCTGGGTCTGTCCCTTACTCTGCTGCTTCCCAGCTGGGTGAGCATGGATAAGCCCCTTGGTCACATTGTGCCCAAGTGTCCTCCATAAACTGGGAGAGGTTACCCCCATGCCCACCTCAGGCTGGTGTGGGGTCTCCTGTGCTCTCCTCCCCACGGCCACTCTCCTCCACGGCTGTGGCCTCAGCCTGCCACCTGCCCAGCGGCCAGTCAGGGCCTCTCAGGCCAGTAGATGGTACCTACCTCCCCCCCATCTCAGCACAAAGTTTCCTGATAAAGACTGGAATGTGACAGGCCACTGGACCCGGGGCAGGGCTGACCTAGCTTCTGTGGGGCCCTTACTATTGCCTCATCTGCAGCTGGGGAAACTGAGGCAGCCTGACCACAGGGTCCCTGCCCCGCCTCACAGCACTGCCCTGTGTGCAGAAAGGCCCCAGGGTAGACCCCAGCACTCACAGGTGTCAGGTTTAGTGGTGCCTGACTAGGCACTGAGGGCCTTAAGGACACATAGTCCCAGGTCCTGCCCCTGGCCAGCTGCTCCTCGGTGGAGACAGGACACACTGCTGCCATGTTCTCTGCCAGGGCACGGGCCCCTCCTCTGCCATCAGTGGGACCCCAAGATGGGGGGTGTGGGGGCTGAGGGACACGGAGCCACATCTCTTTTGAGGAGCAGCAGTGTTGCTTCCTTGCTGGGGGCAGAAGAGGGGATCCCCCCAGGATTGTCTTACTCAGGATGCTCTGCTCCTGGGCAACACCAGGCCCATCCAGGTGAGAGAGGCTGAGAGCAGACGTGCTTTCCGCATGGGGTTGGGGGTCACTATCCTGGTTGTGACTGCCAGGCCAACCTGTCCCTCCATGGCCTGAAAGGAGGAATGAGGGTCCCCTGACCCTACAGCAAGGCAAGGCCCTACCGTGGGCTCTTCCCCACTGTCCCTGAGCCTCACTCTTATTATACCTGCCTGCATACTCCCTGAGGACCACCTGCTCACGCTGTGTGTCTGGTACACAGCAGGTACTCAATGAATGCTTCCTGTGTCTGCACACGCCTGGCACGAGTACACGGCCTCCACTCCCCAAAGACCCTGCCCCAAGCCCTTGAGGACCAGCTATACGGGTGCCCAAAGATGGAACATGCAGTCCCACATTCCCCAGAGTTATGCAGAATGGAAACACATGGCACGCCCAGGATCCCCCTCCTCACAATGGGTAGGAGGGAGGACATGTCTCCCACAACTGCCACAGTCAGAATTTTGGCTGCAAACTGGTGGTCAGGGTGACAACGGTGGCACAAGACCATCCTCAAGACACTCCCTGCGCTGCAGCCTTGGGCAGGTGGAGCCAAGGCCTGCATCCTGCACTGCCAAACTCCCCTCCGCACCCTGGGATGGCTCTCCAGGCACACCACCTCCCTGGCATTGGCTGTCCCCAGTTCCATTCGTGCTTTTCCCCACCCTCTTTTCCAATCTGATGGGAATGCCTCCCCAGAACCCTCAGGACATGTGGGCACCGGGTGTAGCTCGACGGACTGGTATGGCCCCCAGTGGTGTCACTGGCCCCACAGGCTGGCTGGACTTTGGCATGAGTATAGGTCCTGGCCCAGAGGGTCGCCAGTAACCTCCTCAGCCAGAAGGCGAAGGAGGCCCGTCCCACCCATGCCATCAGGACTTCCAGAAGACTGGGTCTTGGGGCTGCCAGACCCCGACCCCTGACCACAGGTGTGGTTTACCTGGCCCACTCCAGGAGACACCAGACTCCTCTTCCAGCATGGTCTCTGGCTCCTCCTGCCCCTCCATCTCCTCAGGGCCTCCTGGGGGCGTGGGGGGCTGTGGCGATGGTGGGGGTGGGGGGTTAGCGTCTGCAGACAGAGAACACCGTCAGGCCCTGCCATCCCTGGGCGCCGACTCTCCCAACCTGCCCACCTCACCCTGTGGCCAGGAGAGACACAGAGGCCCAAGTGGGTGGGTGCATGCCCAAGGTCACCCCGTACCCAGGTTAGCTCTAAAGGGGGGAGAGACCCCTCAATTTTGTCCTCAGCCTTTAGAACCCCTCATCCCCTCATTAATTGCAGCTGTGGTTGCTATTCCGGCTGCAGTTAATAATTAGAGGGCAGGGTGGCCTCAAAGGCACACCCAGGCCAGCGGGCACACGTGCAGGTTCTGGCTCCCTGGTCTCCTCCATCGGCAGCTGGGGGCCCCTCAAGCCAGGCCCTGCACCCAATTCCAGCCCAAAGGGCATATTTGCCTTCCCTGCTGAGCCAGATAACTCCCGCAGCCCCCAATCGATGAGCTCCCATAAAAGCCCCCCCTTGGTGACGTCACATGCCCAGCAGATTATTAATACCCAAGATAAGGGCTGTGATTAACATCAAATAAATCAATCACACAGTATAAAAGTCCTATTATTTTTGGCTATAAATCAACGTGGCTGGTATTTGAGCTCCAGCCATCGCGCGGGAGCCGTGCAGGGCCCGCCCGAGAGGCAGATATTGCTCCTGCCGCCTTATCTCCCCCATCGCTCGCTGCGTTATCACCATGGCCTGTGCCAGGTGCAACCCCGGCTGTTTTTTCCAGCTCCTTCCCGGGCCCCGCCCCCATCCTGCACAGCCCTGGCTAGCTGATCAGATAAGGGGCCTGGCTCCCCTGGAAAGCCACCGGGTCAAAGTCCACCAGTAAGAGCCACTTGCCCTTTGGCAGATCGGGGCGCCCCCGTTAGTGCACAGCACCTCACAGCAGCAATGATGGCAGTGGTGATAAGGGGCCCCTTGTGCACTGCTGCAGACACCCAGACATGGTCACAGACAGCGAGGCTCGGGTCCTGGGGAAAAGCTGGGGGCACACGGGCTGCACCACCAGCCTGGATGATGAGGCAGGTGGCAGAGGGCATAGTCATGAATGACAAGGACACCCCGGCCACTGTCCCTGGGAGCACTGGGGGATGGGAGCCTCAGTCCCCACTCCTAATGAGCCTGCCACTGTGGAAAGGGGCACAGGGGCCAGCAGATCTCAGAGGATGGGGTTTGTTGGGTGCCTGGCCTGTGGCCATCCTGGGGTGGGGGGGCAGATGCTTCAAGATAGGGAAATGCTGGGGGTGGGGTGTCCGGAGTGAGCACAGACTGCCTGAGATCTCTGCACCCCAGCCCCACCAGCAGAGCTCTGCCACCCACTCGCCAGGGCAAAGGTCCCGAAGGGACTGGCAGGGGTCGGCGGCCACCTGGTACACCTTCTCTGGGCATCTTTCCAGTCTCTGCTCAGTGTCACCACCCTCTACCCCCTCTCTCCCGCACTCCTGGTCATGCCACCCACCATGGCCTTCCCGAGACAGCCCACTTCAGGGCTACATCTCCCAGCCACACTACGGCCTGGGGGTCACTCAGCCTCTGTGAGCAAAGAGCATCCCAGCACTGAGTGGGGGTAAGATACCCCGGCCATGGCCAACAGCAGGCAGGCAGGGAGAGAAGTCGGGCTCAGCAGGCAGACTGGATCCCCCATGCCAAACTTACTCCTCAGGAAAACAGGGGTGAGGGTGCTGACCACCCCCACACCACCTCCACCTTGGGAGCTCTCGCCTCCCAGGGGCGTCTGGGATACAGCTGGCTAGAGAAGTTGCCCTCCCTTTGAGGTCTGCTGGGGACCTGTCCAGAGCAGGCTTCCTGGTGTCAGGTTGATTCACCCCCAGTGTCTCCCCAGCAGTACCCCCCACCCCTGAAACTGCCACCAAGGAGGCCCAAGGAAAGGTTTTGGTGCCAGGGGTGGGGGCGGGGGAAGCAGACATGATATGGAGGGAAATCAACCTAAACCCAGACCTGGGGCTGGATCGCTGCACTGTTGCTTTCCAGGCTGTGTGACCATGCGCAAGTCACTTAACCTCTCTGGGCCTCATTCCCTTGTCTGTAAAACAGCAGGAGAACCTGCTATGCTCTGAGACCATGTGTGCTGAAGCCCACTGCCTGCTCCCACAGTGGGTAAATGGAGGCTAGCAAAGGGTGTGGCTTTCTTGAGGTCACTCTGTGGCCATGGCTAGACCTTCTCTATCGGGGCCTGTGTCTCCCCATCTGTACTAGAGCCCCTTGTGGTATGGGTGTACACATCTCTTGCCCCTGGCCCGCCAGGCCCCCAAGGGTCAGGCCCCTGGCCACCCGCTGCCCAGCAGCCAGCGCCAGACATCAGCAGGCTTCACGCACACTTCACAGAGGAGGAAACAGCGTCCCCAGAAGATCCCAGCTCCCGTGAAGGCACAGGTGAGGACATGGGAAGGCGTGGGGCAGCGCAGGCTATCAGGCTTGGCCTGCCGTGTACCCACCACTGACTCACCTGGACTGGAAGGGCTCAGGGGCTCGGGCTCTCCCACGGCCTCAGGCTCTGGTGCTCCTGCCTCTTGCTCTGGGAGGCTGGTGTCCATGGCCTGGGCCTCTTCTGAAGCCTCCACGTCTCCAAGGGAACCTGCAGACACAGCCCGGAGGGCATCCATGAGGCTCTGAGGGGCAATGGCACCTGGGCTCCTGACCCCGTCCTGGGCACAGATGGGCACACAGGCTTTCCCACCCCACAGGGCCAGAGGCTGTGAGGGGGCACCCCCAGGTTGTCTTCACACCCCACCTGTGTATCAACCCCAATATTTGCCACGGTTCCAGCTCCTGGGGTCACCCCAGCTGCCTGACCCCACCAGCTCTGTATCTCTGCTGGCCACTGACCCCCTCCTGCCAGGGTGGTAGTCCTGGCCCCTCCTGGGGTCTCGCTAGAACCAGGGGATGGCACGCCATCCCCTCCACTCTGTTCTAAGCTGTGAGACCAGCAATGGTGCCTCCGCTGGTTTGGGGGCTTCTGAGGGCTGCATGAACCACAGCCCTTGCCTGACCCATAGGTACATATTTCTGGGGTGCACAGAGCCCCAAAGCACATCCATAGCCCCTGAGACATGAGGGTAAGCCCCCCAGCCTGGGCCCAGAACAGGTCCTCTGAGAAGCCCCGCACTTAGGTGCTGAGGTCTGGGAGTTTCCAGAGGGCAGGCCCCCTGTCCAGCACACAGGAAGTGCTCAGAAAAACTGACAGGAGGAAGAAATGGCTGATGGGGCACAGGCCTGGCCACCTCATCCCAGCCCCCACCTTCCCTGGGGGGCTCCTGCAGGGGGTGCTCGCAGAGCCTGCCTTACAGCTAGCTGAGAGGCCAGCCCCGCCAGGGCACCCCCACTGCTGGTCAGGACAGCAGCCTCCATCCCTGAGGTCAGAGCCATGTGTCCAGGGGGCGGGCAGAGGGAACAGTGGTGAGCAGGTGCCCTTCCTCATCCCACACTCTCAGCCTGGGCCTGTGGCCCAGAGCTGCCTCCTGCCCTAGCTACCTTCCCAAATTGCTCCTCTAGCCACCTGTCCTGCCCCTACTCTGCCCCCCGGTCGTCTGGGAGATGACGCTGCCATCTGGGTGTGGCCCTGGGGCAGGGTCCCTCTGGGGCCTGGATGCCAACCCCATAGCAGCCAGGTCCCCCAGCTCTGAGGAAAGAGCAAGAAGAAACACTTGGAAGCCATGACAACACCTGCAAACCACTCGTCAGGAGTGCCCGAGGGACGGAACGGGGCTCGCTCTCGATGGCACCCGAGACACATGGAACAGAAGGGCCACCTCTCAGAGGCTGAGCTCCCCGTCCCTGGCGGCAAGCAAGCAGTGGTTGATGGAGATCTGACAGGACTCATGCCTCTGTGACCTCTTGTGCATCATGACCCGTGTGGGGACCTGGTGAAGGCCTGTGCCTTCTCCCCAGAAAACACCGAGAGAGACCAGAATTTGTCCAGTTTCAGAGGCTTCTCACCAAACCCCTAGTCTTCTTCCTGGAGTCCTGTCTCACTCCCCTCCTTTGCTGCATTTACCCAGGGGTGAAGCCTGCTGCTGCCAGCCAGCATCCACCACGGGCCACGGGAGCTGGCTCGTGGCAGTGGTCCAGGGAGACTCTGATGGAATGAGCAATATTGTGAGAAATGAGGCTCCAGCCTGACTCTCCCAGTCTAGCAATTTCCATGGAGCAGGGAGGTAGGCAAGCTCGTTTTGTTTGCCTTTCAGCTCAAATCCCTGGTCCCAGGCAGACGTGACTGGCCTCAGCAAGGAAAACCAAGTGTCCACAGCGGGGTGGACGCCCTTCCTACCTCCCGCTGACATCCGGGGGCAGGGGTACCCCGGACACCTGGACTCTGCAGGGTACTCCCAGGCCCCCTGGGAAGACCATCAAGAACCAGAGACAGGCCTCAAACAGGAAGTGCTGTTGAGTGAGGAATGGGAGTAAATGAAGGAGGAGAGCACAGGGGCGATGCCACCGCAGGGCTCAGAGGGGCAGACAGTGGGAAGAGGGCTCTGGGCTGAGGCCCTGGGGATGGACTGAGCTAGGCTTTGAGGCTGGAGAGAGGCCGGGGGAGGAGCAGGTCCTAGTCCCAGAGGCACTGGGGAGCCATAGAGAGTCCCAGGCAGGGTGTTTCCCAGCTGCAGCCATCTGGATTCCAGCTCCCGACCTGAGTCCCACCCTCCGGGACACTCCAGAGCCGTAATTACAGGAGATGGGCAGGTGCTCTCCACCCAGTGGCCGGGCTGAGACTGCCCAGCACCAGCCCCAGGTCAAGTCTCCTGCTTTCTTGTCGACGCACTCACATGGACCGAGAAGGCTCTGAGGAGGACCGGGCACACCCCCGACCGGTCCACCTTGTGCCCCTGGGGCAGGTGGGAAGCCTGACCTGCTGTGACCTCCTTTGGCGTGATCTGGGCAGGGAAGCAGAGGCTGCGGTGGAGGCTGGCCTCCAGCTGGGGTTGGCCCTGAGCTGGTCACAGTGGCCAGCAGGCTTGCAGCCAACCCGGCCTCTGGGGTCAGCCCTCTAGCCGGACCCTCCAAGACCTTCCCGTACCTCCTGTGGCCCGTGTAGAGCTGCAAGCGGATGGGCCTGAGCTGCGGTCCCTCCTGCTGAATGGCCGTAGGACCTGGCCGCCTGCTCTGCTAGACCAGTATGAAGCCCCCCGCTCTCAGGGCCGGCACGGGGGCAGATGCCGGGGCACAGCCCACCACCCCCTCCCCACCCGGGCCTGACCCTGGGGACACAGCCCCGACTCCCGGAGCCTCGCTCAGGTGGGCCTCCGCCACCCAGGGAGGCCCCAAGCTCGTGGCGGGTCCGTTTATGAGAGAACAAAGGCCCCCGCTCCGCACAAAGGCGTGACGACGAGCGTGAAGAAAGAGGCTGCCGGGCTGCTGCAATTTATTCTAATGCCGCTAATTCAGTTCCAGCACAATTAAAGCCGCTCTGATAATGCCAGAGACAGCCGCCAAGCAGCAAATCGCTCTGAGCCCACGAGCGGGATGTGCCATGGCAAAGGCACCCGAGAGCTTGCCACCTCGCCCCCGGGACACCCTGGGGTTCCACTCCACCCACGGCTCAGGGAGGAAGGTCCCTCCACTGGCCACGCATCAGGGGACACTGCTGCTTCCCTGGCTGCCCTGTGCCAGGAATGACCCCTGCCTGGCCCCTGGGGGCACTCTCTGACCAAAGACCTCAAGAGCTAGGCCAGTCCACACATGGCAAGTGTCCTTGCTGTGTGACCTCAGGCTAGGCACTCTACCTCTCAGTGCTCGGAAACCACAATAGCTCCTACCTCACAGGGTGAAGCGACTGAGCTCAGGACCTGGCACATAGTAAGTGAGCACTAAACATCATTAGCTGTCACCGCCTGCTGTGCAGCAGGGCCTGGGGGATGGGGTCGGGGCCTGGGGGTGGCACGTGCTCTTACAAAGCACCACTGTCACACACCAGCCCTGTGCTCAGCATTTACAGTGTTCTCCCTTAATCACCCCTGCCCGGTGGTCCAGAGTGTAGGGGTGGTGGGGAAAGTGTGTGTGGACGGCAGGCAGTGCCCTGAGCCAGTCCCCATGGGCAGATCTCCTCTGAGGCCCCTCAACACTGCCCAGAGGTCACGCCCACTTTGCAAATGAGTAAACTGAGGTCCAGCAAGCGAGGTGACTTGTCCACAGCGCCCTTGAGGAAGAAATGGTGGGGATAGGCAGGCCAGGACCCTCTGCAAACACGGACGGCCCCCTTGCAGACACTGGCTCAGGCAAAGCCCTCGGCTGCACAGGGGTGGCCCCATGCCTCCCTTCTCCCTCTGGGCACCTGGATCGAGGGTGACACCGACCACATGGACCAGCAGGGCAGAGAGGCCAGTGCCCAAGGCTGGACCCTGTCTGGGGGCATCGGCGGTAATGATGGCAGTCACAGCGCTGCCCCTGCTGCCCGGAGCCCCTCAGTTATCATGGCGAGCAGACGCCCCGCGCCGATCCGTCTCCTGCTCATTAAGCCGGACGTGGAAATGGAAATGAAAACATAATAGCTATTTGATTGGGGGCGAGATAGTTTGCATATTGGCTGGGCGCTGATAGCAGAATTTCATCAACTCCCGTTCTTCATGCTTTAAGACTGAATTACGGAGACAGGCTCTGTGCAGTGGGATGATCCCCGCTCCCTTCCGAGTCCCGGAGCTGCACAGCTAATGGCCCCTCCTGGCTTTGATGGCGAGGCAGCTGGTGGGGGGGCCCTTTGAATGACCGCCTCTAAGGAAGCCGGAGTTGGTCTCTGTGGAGGGAGCAAAATCCCCTGAGATGCTGGGCCCTGGGTGGACCTGTCAGGCAGGGAGTTGGTGAGGGTGTCTCCGAGCACTGGGCGGGGAGTCCAGAGGCCCCGGGCCTCCTGGCTGATCCACACACTATACCCATATCCAGTGGAGGTGACTGTACGTGCACTCCATGACCACAGCAATCCCCTGGAGCCCCCCACCCAACTCGGGGCCTGACCACAGACTTGAGTCTACCTGTAGCCCTGACCTGTGCCCCCCTAGCACTGGGGTTGTTTATGCCCCTCTGGGGAAGTGCTTCTTATATCCCATTTACAGAGAAGAGAGAGGGGCACACAACTGCCCCAGAGGCCCTCCTGCATCAGGGCTGGCTTTTGAAGGCAGGCCCCTTGGCCTGGGGGTGGGTAGACGCTGATGGGCCATGGAGCCCTGCCCCTCTTGCTGGAGTGCCTGCGGCCCTCACCCTGGGCCTGATCCTCAACCACTGCTTTCTCATTCACCCCTCCTTGACTCCCTCATTCATTAACCCAGCCAACCTTTCCTGGGTCCACCGAGGGCCGGACTCTGTCCCAGGCCTTGGAGACCCCAGGGTAACCAGAATATACTCTCCAAGAAAGCAAATTTAAAAATGCAAGTGCGGGGATCCCTGGGTGGCGCAGCGGTTTGGCGCCTGCCTTTGGCCCAGGGCGCGATCCTGGAGACCCGGGATCGAATCCCACGTCAGGCTCCCGGTGCATGGAGCCTGCTTCTCCCTATGCCTGTGTCTCTGCCTCTCTCTCTCTCTCTCTCTCTGTGGCTATCATAAAAAATAAAATAAAATAAAATAAAAAATAAAAATGCAAGTGCGGCC